TTTTTTTTTTTAATCTTCAAAATCTGGTGTGTATTTTACACAGAGTACAGCTCAGTTTGGCGTGGCCATGTTTCTGGTGTCCAGCAGCCACACGTGGCTAGAGGTCGGTGCACAGGGCTTTATGGGTTTATGCCCCTTCCCTCACTTGTAAAATGGAGACAAAAATAGCTTCTACCCATGGAGTTCCAGTAAAGGATAAGTGATTAAATACATGTAAAGTACTTAGAACAGTGATTGTTCAAAGCATAAGCACTTGTTAAATATTAGCTGTTATTATTTGTAGAAACAATTATTTTATGATGACAGAGGCTAAGAGAACATAGATAAGGAGCCTAGAACAGGTGACGTCAGAACTGAATCCTGAAGAATGAGCAGGAATCGGCATAGCAAACAGTAGGTGGTTCAAGGGCAGTTCTGGACAAAAGATCAAGTGCAGGGAGACGTGAGAGACTTGATAAGTGCTAGGAAGTGGACACAGGGTGGCTGGAGTGTAGGGGGTGTGTGAGAGTGACAAATGGCGAGGCTGACTGGTGATGGGTCAGCTCACGAAGGGCCTCCATCTCGAAAGTATGAGAAGAATTTAAGTATGTGGAAAAAACTCACACCGTAAGTGGTATTGAGGACTGGAAAAGGGCCAGATGGGAGGGCTTCCCCTGATGTCACACAGTCATAGAAAAGTGGGATGAAAGCTCTGGGTTTTCTGTGTCTTTACCCATTATCCTCTGCTCCATCAGGCAGCTCCCTAGGGCAGCAGAGATTAAGATTCAACTCTGGAACTCTGGCTTACGTGTAACTTGAGGCAAGTGACTTCAGCACCCTGAACCTCCCTTAAAGCAAGATCCTGTTTTCCACCTCACAGGGTTTTTAGGAGAATTAACTATGTCAGTATTGTGGGTCAGCTCGGAATAAATTCAATAACAGCTCCACAGCCAAAAGAGTCTTCCAAGTTTCTTTCCCCCCGAGACAAGAAACAGTAACTCTGGAGACACAGATATGTGCACATCAGATAAGGGGTAAACAACAAAAGGCATGGCTTTTAGGTATTGAAATTAGAAGTTGAAACAGTACAGGAAATATTGTGGGAGATCCAGAAAATGGGAGTTAAGACTGTCATGGGGCTTATGTAATTTGAGTGGGGCTCTAAAATATGGTCAAGATTTAGGTGGGCAAAATCAGGAAGGAAAGAAAGACTTTGGGGGCAGGAGAAGGAATGATGAGTTACATGAGGAATGAACGTTGAATGTTGGGAATACAGTTAATAAGACCACTAATTCCTTGTGGTTAACGCTTGCCTGTGATATGCCGTGCTCACTGAAAACGGATGTCTAAGTGACAAATCTACTGCTCACTATCCCTTCTGGGGAACCTTACCAGCCCAAAGTAAAAGACTGCATAGGTGCTAACACTTGGGGGTCGTCTAATGAAACAGCCAAGTCCGTGCCCAGCAGTCCTGCGATGAAACCCATCATTTATCATGTCCTTACACACAAGCACTTAACTTTCAACCAGCACATCGGTAACTCGGTCTTAAGCGTGAATCCATAATTAAAGACTACTTCTAGGCACGCTAACATAGAAGATGAAGGGTCATCTCTCTTGTTTGCCTTCTGTTCATAGTGTTTCTTGTCTTTCTGTCCGTGACTGAGAGTAAAAAAGAAATATGTTGTCCTTGGAAAGCCACGAGAATTATTTTTCATTGCAAAAGAGCAGATTTCTCCCTATTCAAACTTTCCTTTTCTTTCCCTCTCCTTACATTAAATGTAAAACAGTAATGTCAGTAGCAGTTATTCACCAAAGGGGAATTAGGTAAAAGTATTGTTTTGTGTAAGTCAAAAAAACAAATTTAAAAGAAATGTTTTTGTTGTTGTTGTTTTTAAGCTTTTCTTTTTATGTAATCTCTGCACCCAACATCAGGCTCAAAAAGAAAAGTTTTTTTTTTTTTTTAACGTTTATTCATTTTTGAGAGAGAGAGAGAGAGAGAGAGAGAGTGGGGGAGGGGCAGAGAGAGAGGGAGACACAGAATCGGAAGCAGGCTCCAGGCTCCCAGCCGTCAGCACAGAGCCCGAAGCGGGGCTCAAACCCACGAATCGTGAGATCATGACCTGAGCTGAAGCCGGACACTTCACTGACGGAGCCACCCAGGCGCCCCAAAAGAAAAGGTTTTTTAAAGAGACATTTAAAGAGCTCTTAATGGGCTTTAGGATAATAGTTTCAATGCTGATTAAGTATTTTTCTCACAGAAGACTCCCTAGAAGCCATTTCTCTTTGATCACAGTTCTCCTTTCCTAATACCTCCTCATCTTCATGTTCTTCTTTTTTGTAATCTCTTCAGTTTAGACTTTTCCTGAACCACCTTCTCACCTGACCGTGTTTGCTCCATTCCCTTCGGTCACTTTCATTGAGCTCCAACCCCTTCACACCACTAGCATTTCCTCCCCAGAGAGCAGGTAATATTTACATCCCCCTGTTGTATGATCTCAGTGTTTACAGCTTCATTACCCCATTCCTCACAGAGCAGCTTCTTATATTCCAGCTTTGGACTTTCATGTCTTGCAGATGGCGTGTCTGGACCTGAAGCCGAGAAGTCAACACTACAGCAGCAGGACATTTTCAAAGAAATTCCATCCCAAGGAATAAACACGGAAGAACTTACAAAGATAAAGTCTGTGTTGGGAGGTACCTGGAGACCCAGAGAACAGTTTAAGAATCAGCACATCTGGGACGAGATAAAGTCACCTGCATGGAAATTCCTGCCCAAGAAAGAGGTATAGAAGCTAATGAATTTGGAAAAGCTGTCACTGTACAATCAATAGTTTCGGAGCAGTGTGAGCCTGTAGAACGGTGTGTTCGTGAACATGCTACACGTGGGAAAATCTTCCAACAAAACTCAGACTTAATTATACAAAGGGAGTGTGATGGAAAGAGACCTTGTGAATGTAGTGGATGCGGGAAAGCCTTAGGAGACCACACCACTCTTATTCAACATGAAAGAACGCATACTGGAGAGCGAGCCTACAGATGTAACGAATGCAGAAAGGGATTTAACCAGAGTTCCCACCTGACAAACCATCAGAAGACTCACACAGGGGAAAAGCCCTACAAATGCAATGAATGTGGGAAGGCCTTCAGTTATTGTTCAGTCCTTATTCAACATCAGAGAATTCATAGTGGGGAGAGACCTTATGAGTGCACTGAATGCGGTAAGACGTTTAGTCGTAGCACATACCTTACTCAGCATCAAAGAATTCACACTGGTGAGAAACCCTATAAATGTCTTGAATGTGGAAAGGCTTTTAGCCAGGGCACGCATCTTACTCTACATCAGAGAATTCATACTGGAGAGAAACCTTACGAATGCAGTGAATGTGGTAAAACCTTCAGTCAGAGTGCACATCTTACTCAACATCAAAGAATTCATACAGGAGAAAAGCCCTATGAATGTAATGCCTGTGGAAAAGCCTTCAGTGATCACTCCGCTCTTATTCGACATCATATCATTCACACTGGGGAGAAACCTCATGAATGTAACGACTGTGGGAAAGCTTTCAGCTACTGCTCCGACCTGATTCAACACCAGAGAACACATACTGGAGAGAAACCATACAGGTGCAGTGAATGTGGGAATGCCTTTAGTGACTGTTCAGCCCTTATCCAGCATCAAAGAATTCACACTGGGGAGAAGCCCTATGAGTGTAGTGAATGTGGGAAAGCCTTTGGTAACTACTCAGCTCTCACTCGCCATCAAAGAACTCATACTGGGGAGAAACCCTACGAGTGTAAGGAATGTGGAAAAACCTTTAGCAGAAGCACATACCTTACTCAACATCAGAGAAGTCACACAGGAGATAAACCATATAAATGTCATGAGTGTGAGAAAACTTTTGCCCAGAGTTCATTTCTTACGCAACACATGAGAGTTCACACTGGAGAAAAACCCTACAGATGTAATGAATGTGGGAAAGCTTTCAGTGACCGCTCAGGGCATATTCAGCATCAGAGAACTCACACTGGTGAGAAGCCCTATGAATGTAATGATTGTGGGAAAGCTTTCAGTTTCTGCTCAGCTCTTATTCAACATAAGAGAATTCATACTGGAGAGAAGCCCTATAAATGCAATGACTGCGGAAAAGCCTTTAGCGATAGGTCAGCACTTATTCAACATCAGAGAACTCACACTGGAGAGAAACCCTATAAGTGTAACGTATGTGGAAAAGCCTTCAGTCAGAGTACAAACCTCAGAAATCACCAGAAAACTCATTCTAGTGAAAAATCCTATACATGTAGTGAATGTGGAAAAGCCTTTAGTTACTGCTCAGGCCTCATTCAACATCAAATCATTCATACTGGAGAGAAGCCTTATGCATGCAGTGAATGTGGCAGAGCCTTCAGCCGGAGGACAGACCTTAAAAAACATCAGAAGACTCATACTGATGAGAAACTCTACAAATGTAATGAATGTGGAAAAGCCTTTAGCCAGAGCACGTATCTTACAAAACACCAGAAAATTCACAGTGCCGAGAAAGCAAATATACATACTGCCTGTAGGAAAACCGTTAAGCAAAACTCTTCTGTTCGACACAAAAAATCTTACACTGGAGAGAAATCCTCTGAATGCCTTGAGAGTCTGGCTGCTGTGGAGACCAGGGAAACAGAGGGATCATGAAAACTGTCAACTAGAGTGGCCACATGGCTTAGTGGGAAGAGCGCATTTATGGGTTTTAGAGGTCCTGGGTTCTAATCTCAGCTCTATTACTAACTGAGTGCATTACTTACTTTAGGGTAAGTCACTTTACCTCTTTAAACCTTAATTTACTCACCTGAAAAATTTGAAGGTCTGACTAATTGATCTTTAAGATCCACATTTATTTTATTTATTACCAATGTGGGCTTTTACAGAGGTGATTCTTAAATTGTGACCTATTTATTCTACAACAGTTCTGATTTACATTGTGAGGATGTGGTCATCATTATGGATTCAGTAAAGATATGGCCTACACACTATTCATTACCATGGGTCCTCCAAAATTAAACATACTATGACTATTCAAGGAAATTAAGAGATAAAGTAATATGAATTCTGTTCATTATTGCAGTAGGAAGGTTGGGATCTTTTCTTGATTAAGAATATGGTGTTGGATAAAACCTCAAAAAGAATGAATCAAATTATTGGTAAAGGCTGGGTTACCTAGAATCCACCCAAACTTAATGGTGCAATATAAATTTTCTCTATTAAGTTCAATTGGTTGCTATCATGTCCCAAGTGAAAAGGAACTGGAAAGCAGTTCTAAAGTCTCGAGCAGATTTCTAAGAACAGATGAAATTGGAAAGTGTATTTGCCATTTCCACCTAAATATGTAAAGGCCACGTGAATGAAAATGAATGTTGATCTAGGAGAGTCTGTTGGTCTCTGGTCTTTTTCCTATGATTACAGAGACAATAGCCTGAAAATATGAAGATTTATTTCAGAAGCCTGTGATACTAAGTTGACCAGTTAATTTTTTTTCCAGATTTTCTGTGATGCCTGTGCATTGTTTTATAATCAAAGAAACAATTTTTAAAAGGAATTTGATAACTAAGCAAATTTAATGGTTTTGGAATAGGAGACTACTTTAGCAAATTATGCAATGGATTTAAAAACTCTGAGCACAAGTTTAAGACTGTCATAAAGCTGTTTTGTGGCATTTTTGTTGTTGCTGTCTCAGCCTGTTTCCCCCTGCAGCAAACATCACTTTCCCACGGAGACACATTTCAGCCAGGCGGTTCTCACTTTCTCTCCTGCTTCCCAACACTCTGACCATGTGCTAACTGCACTTAGTATACCCTTCTTGTTTACCTTCCTCAGCCCTGTCTCTTTCAAGCTTCATCTTATGGCCTGGCACACACACACTGTTGGGTGGTGGTGGTGATAATGGTGATGATGATGGTGATGACGATGGTGGTGGTGGTGATGGTGGTGATGGTGATGATGGTGGTGATGGTGGTGATGATGGTGGTGATGGTGATGATGATGGTGATGATGATGGTGGTGATGGTGGTGATGGTGATGATGGTGGTGATGGTGATGATGCTGGTGATGATGGTGGTGATGGTGATGATGGTGATCAGCACTCATCTCTTTTTTCTTTGCATTTCTGTAACATTTATTCACATGGACTTTTTAGTATCTAGTGGTTCCTTGATGCTCAGTAGGAATATGGAAAGTAGGTTCTATACCTTAGTTTTAAACCTTCACAGAAACTAAGTCAAAGTAGAAATATAGTAGATGTTCAATAATCTTCATTGACTGAGGAAGGGAAGGTGCTGTTTACCACTGACCAAAGAAGGGCAGGTACCGTGGGAGCACTGATGGAGGGATGGCGGGCCCTGTGGGAGCACTCACCGAGGAAAGGTCGATGCTGTGGGAGCACTGACGGAGAGAGGGCGGGCCCTGTGGGAGCACTGACTGAGGGAGGATGGATGCCATGGGAGCACTGACGGAGGGAGGGAGGGTGCTGTAGGGGCGCTGACTGAGGGAGGGCAGTGCTCGGGAGCACCGCAGGAGGGAAGCAGGTGCCGTGACTCAGGAAAGGAAGGTGCTGTTTACCGTTGACTGAGGAAGCATGCGTTATGTGTGTTATACCTAGATGATTTCCTTTGTCAACCCCTTAGCAACCAGCTTTGGCTCAGTATTCAGAGAGTTTGCATTTGTTAGGATTAGGGGTGTCTCTCATAACAGACCCAGACCAGTGGTGGCACACAGATTATGCACATGAGCACGGGGGCTCCCTGGGCATGGGAACTCCAAGATGGCAGGAACGCAGGCTTTCAGTCTCGTTGCCCCACCATCCTCGCTGTGTGCCTTGGCCTTGACATCCAGGCATCTTCTCCCTCTTCAAGACGGCAGAAGTGAAAGGACATCTCTCTCCCACTAGGAGTGTGACCTAATCTGGAAGTTTTGTGCATTATATTACTCATATCCCATTGACCGTAAACGGGCCAGAGTGATATGGGAACAAAGGCAGGAGGAAATGGCAGGTAAAATCAACTTTCCTCAGAACCTGCAGCCCTTTGGCAAATACTCAGGCAAAGACAGAGTACGACATTCCTCCAGGAGCTCCTACTGTCGATGCTAATGCTTTGCTCGAGGGGAAGACAACCTCGGCTTGAGGACAGCTGGCTCTCCTGCATCCTGCGAGTCTTCTGTAGGTATGAAAGTCCCGCTGGAAAGCTCCCCGTGACTTTACCTCCCCCAACCCCATGGTACATAATCGTCTCTGCTCGTGGTCCTGGGACAGCTCTTCCTGCCCACATGTCCCGTCCCCGAGCTTTAATAAAACCACCATTTTGCCCTGAGGACACCTCAAGAATTCTCTCTTGGCCGTGGGCTCTGGACCCCAGCACCACTCCCAAACCCCACCGCTGGGACCTCATGTCCCGCAGAAGGAGAAGGAGCAAAGTCATGTGTCCTTCTCAAGGGGAGAATGGCAACAAACAGCCAGCTGTGATCTCAGAGCGGTTGTGCTCCTTGTCGCTGACATTGCAGTAGAAACGCCCTGGCTTCATAACGCAGGGCCCAGGAGTTCAGTCTGGAGGGCAGGCTGGCAGGTGGTCCCCTAGGGCCGCTGGGGAACAGGGGAAGCAGGGAGAGGGGTCTGCACAGGCCAGGCGCTCTCAGGAGGGGCAGGCCGTGCTCCCCATCCGCAAGGGGAAATTCAGCTGATTTCTAAATGCATGAACGTTTACTAGAAGGCCTTTCTCGCCACGCGATGTGCCCAGAGCTGAGCACCAAGCCAAGTACAGGCACCCCCAAAGCAGGCATGTGACCAAGGATAGCTCAAACGGGTTTCAAGCCAGGTGAAGGTCTATGTTGGCGTGTGCTTGTGCACGCTTCGCACAAGTCTGTCCGAGAAACTGGAGCACTGGTTTTCCTCCAGCCTATCTGGAAACCAAAGCGATACGACCGAAAGAGACCCGAAATCCAGCTGAGCGGAGCCCTCCACAGCAAGGGAGGAAAAGGCCAAGGCGGGTGGGCAGGGGAGGGGAGATGCGGTTTCACCCAAGACCCCCACCTCCGGGGAGCAGACACACGACAGGAGGGACCTCGAGGGCGGGGATTTCTCCCTGAGCAGGGAGGGGTGTGTGTCCCACCGCAGGCACCCCTGAACCTGGGGACCGGTGCTGGGGCGGGGACACCCCTAGAACATCTGGCTTGGGGAGCAAGAGGCGCTTCTCTCCGGGGGCTCCAGGGGCTCTAGGGCCTGAGATACCCTCGTTTTCAAGGTCCCCGGGCTGACTCTCTCCTCCAGAGCTGCCTGGATTCCTTGTAAAGGAGATCACTGCTAATCTCACGGTTGCTGCCGGAGGGGCAGGGAGCAGTTGGGACTATCTCCAGATGATGGAGGTGCTGGTGAGCACCGTCTCGCTACTTCAGGGGCACAGGGGAACACTGCCGCCCCGAGTGCGGGTCCCCAGCGCCCCTGGCCTGCATCACCTGGGCTCCCGGGAGCCCCTCGCTCAGCCCTGGGCCACGCTCCACGCGGGTGGAGGGAACCAAGTCAGAGAAGTGCTGTCTGATCTCACCTCATGTGCTTTCTAAAACACAAAGCAAATGAACACACAAAACAAAACTCACAGATACAGAAAGCAGACTGGTAGTTGTCGAGGGGAAGGGGGCTGGAGGATGGGTGGAGGGCATCGCTTGTATGGTGATAACTTCCTATTGTATACAAATACCAAGCTGTTATGTAGTGCACCTGCCACTAATGTTATATGCCAATTTTTCTTCAGTGGAAAAAAAAAAAAAAAAACCCTCCCTCTAAAACCTCATGAAGGCACACAGCGTGGTGTCCGTGCAAGGACGGACAAGTGGATCAATGGAACAAAAGAGGATTTAACAAATGGGATGTATTTAACAAATGGGATGCAGAGGAGTACGGAGAGGAAATTGTGCTGGCGTAATTACATATCTATATGAGAAAAATATACACCATACCTAAGAGCTAATTCCAGGTGCATTAATGCTGCAATGTAAAAGACAAAACTATAACGCATTTAGAAGAGAAGATAAAAAGTATACACTGGGGACTTCTGGACAGGAATAAGGAATAAGACACAACAGCACTAAACATAGGAAAAGCGGGGGCGCCTGGGTGGCTCAGTCAGTTGAGCGACCGACTTCAGCCTGCAGGTAGACTGTCTCATAGTTCGTAAGGTTGAGCCTGCTACCCCAGTGCCACACAGCTCAGAGCCTGACCGTTTGCAGGCCCCTCTCTGCCCCTCCCCCATTCGCACTTCATCTCTC